TTGGGCACCAACAAGTATTAGAACCTAACTGCAGAAGTCAACATTGTTTCAACACCGGAACTTCAAGGTGTGCTTGAACCACCTGATCAAAGAAGGGGCTGGGGACCCACAGGAGTGGGGCTAAACGTGTCCTCCTGCTCCAGTTTCCTGTGAATCTGCTCCTCTGGGGACAGGAGTGGTCCCTGCCGCAGAAGACACAGGCTCTTCCTGGGGGTCCTTCTTGGTCACGTCATACTTTGAGACTGCGTGGCAGGACACTGATCACCAAGCCCCCAGATGTGGGTTTCAAAGCTGCCCCTTCAAATCAGCAATTCCCTTGCCTCATGAATATTTTAGTGTGCAATAAAGAAGCACGATGTTTACACACTGAATTAAAGCACCTGCCACTGAATCCTCCTGCTGGAATTATGGGGGGTGGGAGGAGATGGAAAAAAAATCAGTGTTTCAAAGCAGTCCTGATGTGCTAAAAATATCTCTCACTTCTCCTTTCATCTGTCTGGTCATTGTCCCAGACGCAAGCTCAGCACAGCCTGACCCGTGCAACGTATCAAATCGCTGTCTACCTCCGCTTCTTAATTGGACAAAGAGAGAATATTCTTTTTTTTTTTCTTCCTCAGACATTAGTCCAAGATTACAGACTAGGATATAGCAACCTATTATTCAAGAACAGCTTTTAAAGGTAACTGCTTCAGACTGGCACTTCAGGAAAACTTTGAAAGTAGACTCCATTTAAAAAAAAAAAATGCTTACTTTATAGATGGGAGATAACGATTCAGCCCAAGGGATCCGGCTAACTGTTGGCACAGAAGTCCCTAGCGCTACTCTCAAGCAAAGAAGATCTTGTAAGGGGAAACTCCTGCAAAATATACCTTGTGAACAAGCTACTCACACCTCCTCTTGCAGTTGCAAAGACTAATTCTACTCTATTGCTTAACCTGTGACCTTGGAAAAACTCCACCCTTCCTTCGACTGCATCCACCTGTCCCTACAGGTAGTAAAGATTAGATGGATCAGACCCACGTTTACACAACACTCCCCAGCCTCCCTTCGTTGTAGCCCCCGCCCCACCCCCAATCCAAGGTTGAAGTTCATTTCTTCTTGCAGGCTTCACTTTTCAGGATTAACCAACATTGGCCTGGCACGGTGGCTCACCCCTGTAATCCCAGCACTTTGGGAGGCCAGGGCGGGCGGATCGCCTGAGCTCAGGAGTTTGCGACTAGCCTGGGCAACACAGTGAAACCCCATTTCTACTAAAATGCAAAAAAAAATTAGCTGAGTGTGGTGGCAGGCACCTGTAATCCCAGCTACTTGGGAGGCTGAGGCAGAATTGCTTGAAGCTGGGAGGCGGAGGTTGCAGTGAGCCGAGGATCGCACCACTGCACTCCAGCCTGGGTGCCAGAGTGAGACTCCGTCTCAAAACTGAACAAAACAAAACAAAACTGAATTAACCAACACTGTGTTCTCATCCTGCTCAACACGGGTCCTTGGCCTTGCGATGCTCACCTGTGTGGACCACTCTACAGCCAACAGGTCACCTGTTTTAGACCCAGCTCCATGTCAAGTCCTGTTATGGTCCCTCGGGCATACTGACATGCACCATGTCAACCTGGGCACCTGAAAACTGACAACTGGTTTCACATTGCTTGCAATTTGCTTTTCTGGTCTATCCTTATTTATTCCCTTCACAGTGACATTCACAGGAAGAAGAAGCGACAAGCAGTCTCTTGGGGACATCCTGAGGACCCGGGAGAATGCCCTGGGCTAGGGAACCTCACAAGGGGCTCATCAAGAGATTCCAGGAGACAGAGTTCGAGACTAGCCTGGCCAACATGCTAAAACCCTGTCCCTACTAAAAATGCAAAAATCAGCTGGGCATGGTGGCACATACCTGTAATCTCAGCTACTCTGGATACTGAGGCAGGAGAATCGCTTGAACCTGGGAGGCGGAGTTTGCAGTGAGCCGGGATTGTGCTACTGCACTCCAGCCTGGGCAACAGAGCAAGACTCTATCACCAAAAAAAAAAAAAAAAGACATTCTATTCCAGAAGACTTCTGAAATGCAAGTGGCCACCATGCAGCCCTACCTGCCACCTCATTCCCGACTCTAGGGCCTTTGTGCTGCTCTCTCCGTGCTGAGAGTTCTCACCCCTACCCCTCATACCCACACATTCCTGCTCATCCCTTAGCTGGGACCTTGGAAATCACCTCCTCAGGGACCCACTGGGAAGGAGGTCCCTTTTCATGGGAGTGACTTCCCCTCTGGGCATGATTTTTCTCGGGGGGGGGGTGTGTGTGTTTCCATGATAACAGAGACCATGCCTGTGTTTTCATCACTATCATCTTCACCTCAGTGCCAACCAGTGCCTGGCACACAGTAGGTACTCAAGAAAGGCTTGCTGAAGAAACGGATGAACAATGACATCAGCCTACTTTGACCTCCTGAGTCCCTCTGATCTCTGAACATTCTGGATAAAGGACCTTTAGCAAAACCATCATACTTGCTGGTATAGCCTCTTCCTGGAAATAAAAGTATAAAAGGAGTTCAGAACGGATGTTCCAAACAAAGGGATTTATGACCTTGGTCTCATGTTCTGTTGTGGTGGTAAAATTCACTTTTCTATAAAATTAAAAATTCCTCTCTTCAACAGCATTGCCAGAGGCCCCCGGAACAAAGCAAAACTGGGTGTTTCAGAATTTTTTAAGTTTAGGAAAGGTGGCCTGCAATCTCTATTTCTCCCTCCTCTGGTGGCATTCAGGTTACATGCTTATGAAATTCATATCTAGCTCTGTGCCCAAAGATGCTTCCAGCTTGCTTGCTTCCCCCGCTCCCCGCAGGCCTGGGGAGAACACCGCCGCAGTCTGCTATTAAGATCTGCTCAGCTGTTTAATTGCACAGCCCAGCCCAGCAGTGACCTCTGCATAGCCTCTCACTTGCCAATCACATTCTCCTGCCGGCTGCCCACTCACATTCTCCTGCCGGCTTGCTCACTGCCCAAATACACATCCCTCCCCCAGTTCATCTCTTACCCCCTAACACGACAACGATCTGACTTATCCGATTTGCTGAGTTACTTTACCTGAAGCCCCACCCACCCCCCTCCACTTTTCCAGAAGTTCTCCCCACAAGAAAAGAAGGAAAGCAGCTGGCCTGGTCTAAATACAAAGGATTTACTGTCAACACCTTGAAACTTGGAAAGGGTCCATTACATGCCAGCATCAGGCTTTTGGTGGAAAAGCGCGGCGGTGGGGAGGGCAGGAAAATGCTAAGAAGAAAAGACGAAGGGGAGGAGGGAGATGAAAATCCATCAATCCTCCCTCTGAGTCTAGCTGGCCAGGACAAGGATGACACGGGACTTCTGTGAAAGAATCTGGAAATATGTCAGAGAGTTGCCTCGGGAATATCAGCATGGCGGTATATAGGGCCTAAGATCTGGGTTCGAAGACATGAGCCTGAGTGCTGGCTTTCCACCTGCTAACCACATCCCTGCCTCAGGGGAGGCTGATGTTTCCTGGTCAGTACAACAGGGATGCAGAAATCTACTTCCCAGAGTTGCCGGGAGGATTAAATGAGGTTGTGTGTGTGAAAACATCTTGTAAACTATAACCACTTTACACAGTACTCATTAGTTTCTAGTGTTACCGGTAGGTCATTTCTCTCTAACGTTTATTGTCTATCATGTGTCTAAGTGTTTATCCAAAATAAACACTATCCAACCATGGCTTTTAAGGGGTCAATGCAAGCCAGAGAGGATGGACAAAAAATAGGAAGTAATGATACAGTATAGTATGACACGTGTCCAACTGGGTGAGCAGAGGGCTATGTGGAAGCCCCCAGGGGCACGTGGCCCAGCCCTTAGGAGTCCTCGGAGACTGCCTGGAGGAGGTTTCCTCTGAACAGTGCTCTGAAGGGACAGTGGCTGTGGGCCAGGCAGAAGGAAGGAAGAGCTTCCAGACAGAGGGCAGGCACGATGGGCTGCATTTGGCTGCATCAGAGATCAACGAACAAGGGTAAGGATTGGGCGAGTCCTGAGGGATAAGAGCAGAGCACGGAGGCTGTCTGGAGCCCTGTCAATGGGAAACCTGACGGAAGCATTATGAGGTCAACCAGGCAACAGTCATATCACAAGACAACAGGTGTCTTTCTGGGTCCTGACAGTGCACTTCAGTTATGGGGCTTGAACTTACTGGAAGGCATTCATGAGCTGCTGTTCACGTCTAATAATGAAAAAAGGGGGTTCTATCATGGACTATGCCACATTTGTTTTTCTTGGTGGTTGGGATACTGGCTGTGTTATTTGCCTTTTTTGAACATACTCTTCTATACCCACAGCACATTTGCTGGATGATGGGCGCGGGGTGTGGTAATCTACACTATTCATGAGCTGTAGCCAGGTGACCCAGAACAAGGAATAGCACAAGGGTGCCCGGCTGTGGGGAATACATTCATTCTTCCCAAGTGCATGAAAACCACCACCAGAGAAAACTGGCTGAATAAAACCAAGTGGCCCCAAGGATAAAAACACCTCCAACATGAGTCATTTACTCCTGAAAAGTGAATAGGATACAAACAGAAAGCTTGGGCACAGGAGCCAGACTGCTATGACTTGAATCCTGGCCCCTCCATTTCCTAGCTGTTTCATCTTCAGGAAAGTGAGTTAACTTCCCCCAGCCTCAGCTGTCTGTCTGTAAAATGGGTCTTACCACAGGGTCTGCCACACAGGCTTGTTTATTAAAAGAGATAATCAGTATAAAGTACTTGCTGCGGAGTCTGGCACATGGTGCTCTCAACACATGGTGTTGGTGGTGTTACTATGTTTTTTTTGTTTGAGATGGAGTTCTGCTCTTGTCACCCAGGCTGGAGTGCAATGGTGCGATCTCGGCTCACTGCAACCTCTGCCTCCCGGGTTCAAGCGATTCTCCTGCCTCAGCCTCCTGAGTACGTGGGATCACAGGTGTGCGCCACCATACACAGCTAATTTTGTAGTTTTAGTAGAGATGGGTTTCACCACGTTGGCCAGGCTGGTTTCGAACTCCCGACCTCGGGTGATCCACCCGCCTCAGCTTCCCAAAGTGCCAAGATTACAGGCATGAGCCACCATGCCTGGCCACTATTTATTGTTCTTCTCTTGCAGCAATGCTGAATCCAGTCTGCTCCCACCTATAGTTTCCATGATGGAAGAATTAGAGACTTAAACACAGAAATGAATTACCTCTGTTAACCCTAACCCCAGAACACTGAGGCCACAGGAAATACAACCGCAGTGACCTGGACTTCTGCGTGAGTCATGATCAGTACATATTAGGTCACAGCTAGTCAACGCTTTATCACATGGTGGTGACATTTCAGTTTCATATGAGAGGGCTCTCAGTGAAGTGCGTGCACTAAAAATGTCATGCTGGAAAACACCCGTGATCTATCTAAAACATTGTTTCAGTGCCCTCTTATTTTTTGTTTTACTTTTTTTAAATCCCAGAGAGCAATACCATGGAATATTTCATTAGACCTTTTTACTCAAGATCCATGTTAAAAAGTTGAGGCTGTACCTCCAATATCTTTTATTTTCCTTAGTAACTTGTTATGCGACCCCACTGCCTGTGAATATATCCAAAGATTATTCTGTGTTTTAATCTGAACTCACTTTGAAGCTATTTATATGTTTGGCATGGTAACGCAATGGAGATAATAAATTCCATGCAGGTCTGACTCAGCTTTGAAAGCAGTTTTCTTAGTGACACCTTCCTCAGGATTCCCTGAGCTAACATTATGGGATCTGGTAAGTAACTTCATATTCACTCCATAGCATTTATGATCTCACAATCATTTCCTGTAGACCTAGCCTGGAAGCTAAATTTTAAAACTAGCTGTGGATTTAGAAGATGATTCATAAGCTCTGTGCATACCATGGTTATGAGTGGTGGAAGACAGAGAGACTTACATCAGTCTTCTTTACATCTTAACAGCAAGGAAAATAACAGGTTAGGAGTACTTTGTATCTACCCTCCCTGGCTTCTGGCACATTAATGAAAACCCAATAAATTCCAACACTTTGATATCTGTGTATCTGTAACGTTAAAGGCAGCCCTGGGCTGGGAGAGATGAATGTGGCAGGGCACCTCTGAGACAGCTTCTCAGTGGAGTAATGTTATTGGAGAGGTGGACAACGGGGGGAGGCTGAGGGAGTGACATCTTCAAAGGCAGAGAAAAACCCAGTGCATCAGGCAAGCAACAAGCTCTTTTTGCAACATAAAACCAAGAGGGGAGCATGGCAGGAGAAAAACTCAGGTTGTTTTTTTTTTTTTTTTCTGAAAACCACTTGCTGAAATAGAATGCCTCCTTCTGAATACTGATGTCACCAGACTATCAATTTAGGTTATATTAAACTTTTTCAGGATAGCTATCCTCAAATTTCAAAGCATGTATTGGCCAGATTTCTAAGATGTGATAGCATCTTTCACTAAGAAGTAAGGAATTTAGAATCGAGGTGACACTGGACCACGGAGTCTCTGGGGTGGAGGCAGGAATGTGCTCAGTAAGGCAGCTGGTCAGCCCCAAGGCTGCCCGGGCATGAGGCTTCTTCTGTAGGGTCTCATGGGTGCCTTCTCATGCCTTTTATTTGAGCCATATCTAACGACTTTAAAATGTTACCCCTACATCTGTTTGGTGAACTTCATCAATGTTTGTAACATCCCAGAAAGCATTATTCAGAGAAGCTGGAAAAAGGAAAAAAAAAAGGTCTCAGATTTCTGAAAATGGGGTGGATACTGACCTATACTCAGTGTTCTAGATTAAAATTCAGATTTTGGATAAAGAAAAAAGTGTTCTCTGTAATCTTAAAAAAACAAAAAACAAAAAACAACTCTTTTTGACTTTTGGGGGTTGGCGGACAGAGTCTTGCTCCATTGTCTAGACTAGAGCAGTGGCACGATCTTGGCTCACTGTAACCTCTGCCTCGTGGGTTCAAGTGATTCTCCTGCCTCAGCCTTACAAGTAGCAGGGATTTACAGGCATGAGCTACCACCCCCACCTAATTTTTGTATTTTTAGTAGAGATGGGGTTTTGCCATGTTGCCTAGGCTGGTCTCGAATTCCTGACCTCAGGTGATCTGTCCATCTTGGCCCCCCAAAGTGCTGGGATTATAGGCGTTGGCCACTATGCTTGGCCAAAACCAACATATTTTATGGATAGGAAAATCGACGCTTAGATGGGGAAAGGGCATGGGGCGATCAAAGGCGAGTCTTTTATTGCAGGCTCTGGGTTTTTCCAAGTAGCTGGTTGTATGCTGCACCACGAGGCAGACCCAGTAGGTCAGTTTCCTGTGCGGACCCCGTTGCAAACCCATCTCTAAGCCAGGAGGCTAGCAGGCCTCAGCAACCCATGGGAACTTAGGGTGCTCATGACTTAACCTGGAAAGAGGTGACTAAGCTCCTTGGTCTAAGGTCTATGCAACTAACCACTCACTGTGGACCAGAGACACTCCATGGCAGACAGCAGTAGGGCTGGTCTGGGGTGACAAGTCATGTCCTGGACGAAGGAGCCTTTCTGCTAAGGGTTCCCTGGCAGAGCATGACAATGGCCACTTGGGAATGTGACCTGGCAGTGGCAGAAGTCTTCGTTTAAAGCCCACTCCTAAGGCCTCCCCAGCACTGTGTTCCAGGAAGCCCCCTTGCTAGCCATCCCCATAAAGTTCAATGACTAAAACATGTTTTGGCAAGTAGTTTCTCTGGGTATTTAGTGTGCTGTTTACCCTCTTTCTGTACTAATACTATAAATTGCTGAAGGCTTGCTGGAAATCAAAACTACAAATTAGAGAAAAATAGGGTAAGGGAAATGTCTTTGATAGTCCACTTTGAAATTCAAATAATGATTTGAGACGTTTAAGAATTATTACATGAATAGATAGAGGGTAAAGAAAAGCGGCAGAATATTAATTATGGAATCTAGCCAGTATATTTATCATAATAAAATGTTGGGAAAAAGCATTATTGCATCCTCTGTGCATACCAATATCCAAAAAGTTCATGGACTCCTACTGCTGGATATAACAGCAAAAAGTCTTGAAATATAAAATAAAGGAAGCACCACGAATTAACTAGGGAAAGATACATGACTCAATACGCAAGGTTGGGGTATTTACTATATAAAGCAAAGTCAATTTGGATCTTTGTTTCACACTTTTCTTTTTTAAAAGACACAGGGTCTTGCTCTGTTGACTCGGCTAAAATGCAATAGCATGATCATAGCTAACCACAGCCTCAAACTCCTGGGCTGAAGGGATCCTCCCACCACAGCCGCCCAAGCAGCTGGGACTACAGGCACATGCTACCATGCCTGGCTAATTTTTAAACTTTTTGGTAGAGATGGGGGTCTCACTACATTACCCAGGCTGGTCTTGAACTCCTGGCCTCAAGTGATTCTTCCATCTTAGCCCCCCCAAAGCATTGAGGTTACAGGTATGAGCCACTGTGCCTGGCCACACCTTACTCCTCATTTGGTGAGTTTAATGTTAAAAATGAATTTTTTAAAAAATTAGATGAATATTTTCTAACTTCTGGGTAGGGAGGAATTCCTAAGCCTAAGGTAACAAATTATACAGGAAAAAAAAAAACAGGTAAAATCACTTACTCCACTACATAAAATACAAAGGTTCTAATGAGAACACATGGACATAGGGAGGGGAACATCACGCACCGGGGTCTGTCGGGGAAGGATAGCTTTAGGAGAAATACCTAATGTAGATGATGGGTTGATGGGTTGATGGGTGCAGCAAACCACAATGGCACGTGTATACCTACGTAACAAGCCTGCACACTCTGCACATGTATCCCAGGACTTAAACCACCATGATAACAATAATAAAATATAAAGGTTCTGTATTTCCAAAAAAGTGTAAGCAAAACTAAAAGTCAAAGAAGCTGGGAAAAGTATTTGCCCCAAATATCTTAGACAGACACAGACAGACACAAACACACACACACACACACACACACACACACACACACACACACACACACACACATATATATATCATAGGAACAGTCACACCCCAATAGAAAAGTTTATAACGGACATGAACAGAATATTTATAAAAGAAAACAACAGGCTGATATACACATGAACAAAGTTCAACGTTATTGGTAGAGATAAAAACATCCACATGTCTGACAAGGAGTGAACGTTCATTAAATAGCTTCTGAGCAGATGAACCAAAAATAATGTCACCTTTTTGTCTAAAGATTAAAAAAAAAAAGAGACCACTCAGTGCTGACGAAGATATGGAGAGGAGGACATTTTCATACTTGTGGAGAACTTGATTTAAGCTTTCTAGAAAACAATTTAGCAAGGTATATCAAGAATCTTACACTTAACCTTCTTTTACTCAAGAAAATTCACTGTAAGGAATCTCACCCAAGGAAATCATTAAAAATATGCCCGATTCATGTATTTGAAAGGTTAATTGCTGTAATATAAAAGTAATTTTTTTTAAAAAACTGGAAGCAAATTAGACACTCCCAAATTACAGAATTAGCACCATTAGAAATATTTTAAAAGCATTTTAAAGCATAGGGAGAACATGCCTGTTTTAAAAGTGGGTTAAAAGCACCTATACAGGCCAGGCGAGGTGGCTCACATCTGTAATCCCAGCACTTTGGGAGGTCGAGGCGGGTGGATCACCAGAGGTCAGGAGTTCAAGACCAGCCTGACCAACATGATGAAACCCCACCTCTATTAAAAACACAGAATAAACTAGGCATGGTGCATGCCTGTAATCCCAGCTAATTGGGAGGCTGAGGCAGGAGAATCACTTGAACCTGGGAGGTAGAGGTTGCAGTGAGCCAAGATTGTACCATTGCACTCCAGCTTGGGCAACAAGAGTGAAACTCCAACTTAAAAAGAAAAGTACCTATACAGAATTATGCTGATTCTGCAAATTGTGTGTAGGACAATACTGAAGGAAATATACAGAACTAATAGAGCTTTGAGGATCAGAGGTAATATGTGGAATCGAAAACAGTAAAATACAGTACGTAGCAACAGACAGTGGTGGTTGGGGGGTAGGGGGATGGGGAGATGTGAGTCAAAGGGTACAAAGCTGGAGTGATGTGGGATGAATAAATCTAGAGATTCGAAGTACAGCATGAGGACCACAGTCAAGATTATACTGCATACTGAATATTTCTTTTCTTTCCTTGGAGATGGAGTCTCGCTCTGTTGCCAGGCTGGAGTACAGTGGTGCCATCTTGGCTCACTGCAACCTCCACCTCCCGGGTTCAGGCAATTCTCCTGTCTCAGCCTCCTGAGTAGCTGGGACTACAGGCGTGTGCCACCACGCCCAGCTACTCAGGAGGCTGAGATGGGAGAATTTTTGTATTTTTAGTAGAGACAGGGTTTCACCATGCTGGGCAGGACGGTTTCAATCTCTTGACCTCGTGATCCGCCCACCTCAGCTTCCCAAAGTGCTGCGATTACAGGCATGAGCCATCACGCCCAATCCTAAATATTTCTGAATACATTTTAGGTGGGCTTAACACACATACACAAAAAAGTAACTGTGAGATGGTACATTCATAGCTGGAATGTAAGTTATTATTTTGCTATGTACATGTACCTCAAACCAGCATGTTGACACCTTAAATATACATAATAGAAAAATAAACAAATAAAAGGGGTTTTATTACAAATGGGTCAGAGTAAAAGGAAAACCACCCTATGAAAAATTGGAATAGCATCTCCTGCTTTGGAGACAGGTCGTCACTCAAGTCCTTATCCTCATCAGCCAACTTCCCGTTGGCTCTGTGTCTTCCACTGACCCTGTCTCTGTGTACTGACGTGTTTGAATGTCACCTCTCCCCCTCACAGCTGGTCCCCACCTGTCTCCCTCAAACCTGGGCTTCCTCTTGGACTGCATTTTGTGGTGAATGATACGTGATAACCCCAGCCACACTGCCTGCATCATCCTCCCCATTTCTACCCCCAATCCATCACCACGTGCGTCCTGACCGAAGCTTTCCAGTTGGCCTCCTTGCCTCGATGGCCTGTCCCCCACTCCTCCCCTTCCAAACCACTCTCGTCACTACAGTCCATCTGGCCTTTCTGAAGCACACATCTGACTGTCAAGGCTCCTGGGTAGAAACCTTCAGGCAAGCAAGGTGTGGCACTCAGACCCGTGTTCACAGTGACTGCCAAGTCTCCCATCACCCCTTCCTCACACACACACAGGTCTGCGCCTCTGGACAGGCTGTCCCACCTGCCTCCCATCCAGCTAACTCTGCCAGGCCTAACCCTCGGGGTCCATTGTGACCTCCCCTCCATCAGAAGCAGGATGGGGTGGCGGCTAAGTGTCCCAAGCCCTGAGCATGCTGTTGTCATGCTCCCATGGCACTCATCACATGCTGTGATTCTGTTTCTGTATCTTTGTCTCCTCTACCAGACTGTGAGTACCCAGGCAGGTAGGCCCTCAGGGTTTGTAGAATGAACAAATGTTTCTACCGCCCCAGCAGACTTATCCTGCTCTCATCTTGAAAGGGGTATCAAACCAAGATTTGGTAGCTTCCAAAGTATTATATCATCCTCACAAGTGAGACAGTCTTCCTTACCTTTAATCACCCAGCAAATTTATGTATTATATACTGTCTGTCATGACACTACCTCTGGTTTTATTTGAACCTACTTACTCCTGCGAAGTCTATCACAGGAGTGTATTCGCATCACTAAACACAACAATCATTTCAAGTACTGAACACCAGGCAGTGTTCGAGGCCCCGGAATATACGTACAAACCAGACTGTTACTACCTAAAGGTCATTAGCAAGAAATCCTCCGGCCTCTGATCACTGTGGAATAAAACCCTCAGTTAACTTTATGTTTTCCTGGAAGGGCATGTGATTTCTGTTGCTTGTGTATCAGCTTTTCACAATTGCCCCAAATCATTTTTCAAGTGTGACTCAAACAGAACGCCGTGATGAGTCTGACGAACACTAAGTCCTGTTTTCTTACCCCTCTATGTCATACTGCTTTTCATATACCCAAGGATCATGACTGTTTTTCCCACAACAGCCTTACAGCATTGACTTAAATTTAGCTAGTGATAAAGGCTGCATTTTTTAAAAATGATGTTTCTTTTGTACGTAACCATGCTATCTTACATCTATCCCCACCAAATTTCTCCTCCTACTGTAGAATCATTTTTCTGCTTTGTTATAATGGTTATGAATTATATTTCTGGAGCTGAGACGATTCTGAGTCCCACCTAATGTGGTAGCATACACAATGGAAAAATGAAAAGAGATCTCACAGTTTTATATTGTACGAAAGCCATAGACAAATATATGTATGAAAACTCTTCCCAACTCCTTCATGTTGAGTCTTCAGCTCTCTACCTGAATTCACAACGTACTTTACAGATACACACGGTTCATGTTGAGGGACCCTGGGCCATCTGTCTGCAGGCTCTGGTATTAACCATGCTCTTTATTTATTTAGTATTAGTCATGTATTTTCTCCACCCTTTGTCTTTGGCTCTGCACCCCCACCTAGCAACCACAATGACTTCTTTTTGACCTGGATGCCTCCTCCTTCTTAATAACAGTGTTTCCTGGGAAGCTTAAGAACAGTAGAGTCGTCATGAGGGGTCAGTCCAGGGCAGCGTTCTTAATGGTGGGTACATGGATATGTGCCTCTGGGTCTGTAAAAGGGCAGGCGAATGTTTGCATACAGGCGTGGGAAAAGGGTTCATGGCTTCCATCAGAATCTGAAAGGGGTCTAGCACCCTGGAGAGGTTAACAACACTAACTCTCGGGCATTCGGACACAGGACAGCACACTGAATAAACAGCACCAGCATGCCTGACTCAGCCTTTTACTAAGCTACCTCCCAAGGGAATGAGAAATTCAATAGTAATTATACACCCAGCATCTTCTGGAAGGCAGCTATGCTCACCACTATACCACCAACACGCCAAACATCTCTTGAATAATTAAGATCATAATTTGAGGGTGTGATGGGGGAAGTCCGGCATAGATGACATTATACAGAGGCCATAATCTAACACTTTAAACATCAAAGCTATCTTTTCTCAGTTTCTGCTTTCATCCACTTGCAACGTACTTTCTTTGTCCTCTTCTGATACTTTTAGCTTATTTGATAACATTGGTTGAAAACCAAAACATCATGAATCACAAGTTTCTCTACATTTTGTTAGTAGCTCAAAGCACATGCCTTTCATTAACTGTTGGTAATTATATGATTTTTTTCCAGAATATACTGGTACCTTGTACACTTGTGTTTAAATAGCATTACAAAGACCATTTTAGTGTACGTACGTCAAAACCAAAACTGCCTTTATGTCAGTATGCTGCAGACATCTATGAGTATACATCTTAATTCTTAACTTTCGTTGTTGTCTGTGTTGTCTTTTAGAATCATTAGCACATCCACAGTATTTTCTATAGGTAAATATGCAATGCATTAGAAACGTACTGGGGGAAATGCTCTTCAAAGCATTGCCCTAGACGAAGCACCATGTAGGCATTTAGAAGCAAGAAATAGTGAAATCAGAAAATGCTGTCATACCTACTCACCACTGAACGGTCGTACGAAGGATCCCCAAGCGCAGGCTGGACTCGTCCTGGAAGCAGAGGATTGGATTCCATCAGGAGAAGAGGCAAGTAGAAATGCCAAATGCCAGCGTTCCCTCCGCCAGCTCATCTTATTTAGCAGACACACAGATTTTGGAATCCTCCAGGACTAACAATAAAAACCACACTAGGTTGTTTTCCTAATTCCTATGAAATGAGTCAGTAGGTCAAACATCTTATCCACTCCGGACAGAGAACAGTTCCTTGAGCTCCACTCCCTGTTTCCAGTAACCCTATTCCCTGTCTGGGCCCCTGGATAACAGTGCTGCCAATAATGCATGGAGACCTCACCGGGCTCTGAGAGAGCCACGTGGAGATCGACAGAAAGTTAGCTGCCTTCACGGGATAGTTTCCCTTATGAATATTTAGGAAGAAAAAAGTCCACTTAAGAGTAACATGAGGATCAAGTTTCTTCATTTAAAGAGTCAGCATAACTTTTTCTCTGTTGAGACTATTTCTTTCTTTCATACAGGAGGACCTGAATGATGCTGAAAATAAATATAGAAAATATAGTAACTGTACCTTTAAAAGCCCCACAAACCACTTCCTTCTGTAAAACACCCTTTCCTCCTCCAAAGGTCTAGTATATTCAAAAGATTCACTGATTATTCGAAGAATTCATATTCTTAAAAACCCTTCACAGCTGTCTGAGTCCTGCAGTTCCATGCTCTGTATCATATAAAGCAGAAGTGTTTAAGAGCTTGCTAGCCATCCTTTAAATCCATGACTCAAGACGACCAACACTGGGTTACCAATAACCTTCAGAAACTACCACCTACTCACCGAGTGTAACCGTTCTTGTAGTTAGCGACCTTTGCATAGGAAATCACCAGCTCCTGGCAATGAATCCATACTTCCAAGAACTCACGAATTCAGGCAAATATATGGACATACATCTCTAAATAGAGATACAGAGGTCTGCTGTGACAGTTCAGTAGGAGACTGGAAATACTTTTGCTTTCTGTATCGACAGTACTTTCTTTCCTTTTTAAAGAGAAGGTTTCGTTTTGATCTTGAGAAATTCTGATAAAACCACCAACTGAAAACCTGCCATTGTAAAGGAGGGATTTCACAACGTTCATTCCAAAAAACTGTGGCTATTCATTTGTGGAAGTGATTCACTGCAAAAGAATCGCTGTTTGGGGGTGGAGGGAGCGTTGATTTTTAGAAGCCAGCCTGCCCTCTGGAAAGTGAGCAGGAACCTCCGAGATGGCAGCCACGTGCCTTCTGACCCCCAGCCCTGCTCCCTGAATCACCACCACTTGAGATGACATGCAGTGACCAATTTCCTCTTAAAACTCCCCTCTGTATACAAAAACCCTATGATCCATGCACCCTGCGTCTAATCCTCTGCGATGGGGCCAGTCTGCAGATCCGTCTGGGCGGGCTGCAGTAGCATTCTCCACCTGCCAACACTCAGTTGCTGGTGAGTAACCAGCATACGGACACTCACTTCCTGTGAGTATTTCTGAAAGAGCTTATGATATTTCCTTTTAAAAAAAAAAAGTGGGGAAGAAAGCCACTCAGGGAGGAGAAGCAACTTCAACAAGCACAGCTAAAAGCATGCAACGTGATCGCTGTTGACCAGACACGCCTAATTTTAATTTGGTTTCTCAACCCCTGTGTAATTAAGACAGCCCAAAGAGAACAGCATCAAGAGGGGGAAAAAAAAACACAACAAAAAAAGACATTTCACAAATGCTTAGACCTTCAGTGCGCGTGACCAGAAAAGTAATTTTAAGATTCAAGTGAACCAATCTGAGGCTGGTTGGAGCATTAACCCTTCAAGGAAAGAGAAAGAGTTATTTTTGTTTGTCCCCAAATTTCAAATACGGAATTCATCTTCCCAACAAGGCACTAAGATGCCGAAAATCAGCCTCTGAATGCCATCCCCTGAGCTTATGAGATGAAAAAAACTTCTTCAGATTTGTCCATGATGGGGACAGAAAAATACCTATTTATGAGACCCAGCCACATTAACAGAGCAGCCGACACCGTGTTCACACTCGGCCTTCTTTGAAAACCGACCACTAAGGCTAAAATGTGACAGTTTGTATTTCTCTCAGCTATAGCCAAACCTGTTAATTTATGTCAGAAAGAGCAGCATTTCTTGACAACTGGGCAAAGTGAGTAAGAAAAATTGCTTTTATCCCACCTTACAGAGTATCAATGGTGACAAAGCCCACTTTCTGAAATCAGTAGACGTTCTGCAGAAAGAACAGATTTTTCAGAGCCTGTCCTTCAGCTTCAGGCTGTGACTGTGCTTCCAATTTGAGGCCTCCATGTGCCTGCATGGTGGGGAGGGGGCTTTTGAAGGGGGAAGGAGGAAAATACAAGCTTCTACTTAATGGGCACTGAAGGATAAAACAAATCACCCAAATCCACACCTGTATTTATCACACAATACACAGAAGCCCTTAACCTGTAACATGGCAACACTTTGCCACTTAGACCCCAACTCTTTTATTTCACATTTTTGGACACTCGAGATAAATATTAAAAAAATATATATAAAAACATAATCTGCAATTTATACTCTGGAAGGGAATTTTCACTAATGTGATTTTTTTTTTTTTTTTTTCCTGAGACACTCCTATTGCCCAGGCTGGAGTGCAATGGTGCAATCCTGGCTCACGGAAGCCTCGACTTCCTGGGATGTGATACGCTTTTATAATATTTACCAAACTGATATTTTAACAAGAAAAATATGGAAATCATTTGCCTGATATATTTCATTTATTTATTTTAGAGATAGGGTCTCACTTCATTTCATCTCAGCCTCCAGAGTAGCTTAAACTACAAGTGAGCACCACCATGCCCAGCTAATTTTTGTATTTTTTGTAGAGATGAGGTTTCATTCACCATGTTGCCCAGGGTGGTCTCTAACTCCTGGCCTCTAGCGATTCTCCCACTTTGATCTAAAGCGCTGGGGTTTATAGGCATGAGCCACCATGCCCAACCCAAATTGGGGTTGAGTAAAAAAAAAAGCACCTATAATTGGAAGTAAATTTTTATTTTAGAGCAACTACACTACATAATAATCATCTCCTTAGTCCCTGCCCACAAGACCTTATGAGCCTCCTCATTAGAAAAAAAGGAGTATTCTTTGATAGGGTCAAAGAAACAGAAACCCTTTACATGGAGAGAATTTTAAGTATCTACAATTTTTAAAAATCCCATTGATACTGATCTCAGCAAAAGAATAAGCTTTGATTACAGGCCTGACCACTACTCAATGATTAGAGTATCGTCTCTTCTCTCTTACTTAGAAGGGAGCTTCCCTCTCCCACTATGCCAGGTATACACATAAGTTCACAGCTCTCAGTATTTCTGTGCAATTTGTTCCTATTTCAGACGGCATTTCAGAAAAGTTCCCCTTAAGTCCTGGGCAGCCAATGCAGACGTTTTAAAAAGAGGAAAAGCAGAGCAAAACAACAAAAAGATCATGAAATAGCAGCCTGGGGGTAGGGGGAAGCAGAGAGAGCATGAATCTAACAGATGCAGCAGTTGCAAAAAAGCTGCTATCCTTTAGAAACTCCTGTTAATTTGGCGACCTAAAGGGAGCTGTTTCTAAGGCTGGATATTGAGAATGTGATTAAACCATGGAGGCTGGCCAGCTCCTCGCTAGGCTGTGGACACCATTCAAGTGTTATAGAGTCCACCCTCTCCAAACAAAGGAAAACCCATGACAAATGTCCTTCATGTTTAACATTTACTCAGTTATCTTTTAAACAATGAAACAGAATGCACTCTTTCGTGGCACTTTTATAGGCAGGGGGGAGAGTGGTCTTGCCACAGAAGGGCACCAGCCACTGGGAAGTCCTAAGGTGGTGTTCAAGTTCCGGTTCATCTTTTTGCTGATTTGCTGTGGTGCATATCACCCAACCTCTCTAAGCCAGTTTAATCATCTGCAAGAACAGAACACTGACATGCAGGGCCAGCTCCGAAGCTGCCAAGAGCTGCCCATTGTCCATTCGCTTAATCTTCACAGCAGCCCTGGAGGTAAGTTCTATTTTTATCCTCTTCCTACAGATAAGGAAACTGAGGCCCTGGGAGCTTAAGGATGCACCCAGGTTACACAATCAGTAGGTGGTGGAGCCAGGATTCAGAGCCAGGAAGCTTGACCTTGACTCCATACTGCAGAGCCTGCCCTCAGCATGTCTGCCAGTAACACCCAGGTTGGCTGTGCAGCAAGGAAAACAGCACGTAGGAAGCTACCTTAAAACCTACAAAGACTATAAAAACACAAGTCAGATTTTTAATCATGTCACATGCAGATATATTCTCTGTAAAAATTTAATGAAGATTCAGGGCAGCTCAGCAGTGGTAACTCTGTTGATCCTCTGAAAACAGTTTCATGTAACTTGCAAGTTACTTATTTGCACACCATGTGTGGTTCTGAGTTTTAGAGGTAGAAGGGATTCAGAGACCCTGTTTTCAGTCGGGGTGGTTCAGTGGGGTTCCGAGACACAGAGCTGAAGCCTGAATCTTCATCCTTTAACTCCCAGCCCAATGATGCACCACTGTGTCACAGCCACAGGTGGTGATGAATGCATCTGCATGAAGCTCTACATTTTACTGTCAGGCATCCATCCATTTGTTCACATAATTCATGTGTGTGTAATACTAACCTTCAGAAATCAATGTCACTTACAGTATTTTTCTCATTACAACATCTTCAAGCTTTAAGATGAAAAGGATGAAGAAAGAAGTCTTTTCTAAATATTTCCTTCCTGTGATTTGCTTTTTTATTCAAGGAAAAACAAAGCCTCTATTAAAGTTCTGCTTATGATGAATGTAACTGAGGTTCTATCCGATTCTTTGCTTTAATCTATAAACTTGTTCACAAGAACAGCCTCTTTGATGTCCACAGGCTGCTCCTCCCAAGTGCCTGCAGATCATGGCTGCGGGAGTCACTGGAAGGAGCCTGCCTCAGAGGCAGTTTGGAGGCTTCCGGCTTTAATATGAAAAATGATTTGGTCATTTAAGACAGAGTCTCGCTCTGTTGCCCAGGCTGGAGTGCAGTGGCATGATCATAGCTCACTCCAGCCTCAAACTCATGGGCTCAAGTGATCCTCCTGCCCCAGCTTCCTGAGTAGTTGGGACTACAGCTATGTGCCACCATATCTGGCTACAATTTTTTGGTATTTTTTTTTTGTAGAGAAGGGGTCTTGCTATGTTGCCCAGGCTGGTCTTGAACTCCTGGATTCAAGCAATCCTTTCACTTCAGCCTCCCACAGCACTGGTTCACAGGTTCACAGGTGTGAACTACCAGGCCTAGCCTATTTACTCTTGAAAGAAAAAGTAAGTTTTTATTTCGTTTTCAAGCCTTTCATGCTGTTTACTCTACACTAAAGTTTGGCCTTATTATTTTTGCTTAGAATCTTTTAATGGTTTTATGTCGTGTTGGGTCACATCAAAACACTTAGTGCCTCTTTCTAAAACAAAGACATTTGTTGACCAAAAAAAAGTTAAGAAAAGAAAAAAGGAGACCAGCCAGGTATTTAGTTCTATTTAAGAGAGCAAAGGTGATTGTATGCAAGATTCTGGAAAACTTATGTACGTTAAATTTATGAGCCAACACTTTTTCCCCAAAGATTTATTTGGTGTGAAATGTTACTTCCTGTGCTGTAATCATAAAATCAAATGTTATTTACTCCTGTCATAACCATTCACGTACTTCCTGCCATAAAAACTGAAACCTGGCTGGAATATTAAACATGCAAAAAACTTTAAGTTCAGGAAGTGACTGTATGTATCATATACATTAAGTTCATATTCCAATCTAAGAAAGAGCTAAAACACGCCTACTTAGGAAAACAAGTATTATGTTTTATCATCTGGAATGACTAATCCCACTATAGCCCATGCAACGAACTTTAGGGGTTAAAAGAACTTTCTCTTTTTTTCCCCTCCCCTCCCCCTCCCTCAGGACTTTCTCTTTTGCACCAAGCTCAGTCCATAGTTTTGTGGGGATTGTCAGTCTACCGTGTGTAGTAGGCTGAAATATACTTGCACACAGCCCAGAGTTAAAATCGTAAAGATCCAAAGACTTACTTAGGGTAGATGCGCACACTTTAAATGCGTGTGCACATTTTTCTTTTGATGCTTGCCTACTTCTAAAAGAAGACAAGCTTCTAAATGCTTAAGCTTCTGCGTGTCGGGTGGGAAAATCAGAGCCAGTGTACACATCCAATGATAGAAGAAAGCATGCGTGAACAGATTTGTTTACAAAACAGGGCCCAGCAAAGTCTGTCTCTCAGTGCCTCGGCAGGATCTATTCAACAAAACAAACACACAAACACGGATCTAGGGAACTCGCTCTTCCTTCTGATGAAGGTGTAACAGCCTGTGATTTTAACTGGGCAGTAGGTTACGACATAACCACGTGACCCAGGCTTGAATTGGAGATATGCCAACAAATCCAGTTTAACGCAAGTGCACATGT